GGGACTATATCTCTCCTTTCCTTCAGCTCTGGTGTCTACATACTGTGTGCCTGTCACATTTATTTATTTTTAAAAATTTATAATCTTTTTCTTGTTCTAAAAAGGACTTAAGGTGGCTGCCTAGGAGCTCAGTAAACAATTGCTGAGTGAATTATTAAATGACTAGAGGTATATATAGATGCGTACATAAAGGGAATACTATGGTTTTGTTGGAGGGAGTAAATGCAGCTTTATAATTTGGTGATAAGCTATATTTTATATAGAGAGTCTACAAAGAGAAAGGCCAGAACTGCTTCTTTTTTAACTTGTGAAGAATTGTATATTCTGTTTCAGTTAGAATATTAACACTCAGTTAACATTAGCTATGTCAGTTAAAAACCCAAACTCATAGAAACAAAAGAGTAGAATGGTGGTTGTCAGTAGCCGGGAGATGGGGGAAATGGGGAGATTTGATCAAAGGGTATAAACTTATAAGATGAATAAGTTCTAGGAGTCTTGACGTACAGCATGGTGACTATAGTTAATCGTACTGTGTTATATGTTTGAAAGTTGCTAAGAGAATAGATCTTAAATGTTCTTACCATACACATAAAAAATGGTAATTATGTGAGGTGATGGATATGTTAACTAACCTTATTATAATAGTCATTTCTCAATATATATGTGTATCCATCTCATTGTACACCTTAAACCTATACAATATTGTATATCAATTATATCTCAATGAACCTGGGAGAAAAACTATGTCAGTCTTAATAATATTAATGATCACCAAATTCAGAGTGTATTCATATTTTAAATAGATATTTAGGTTTGTATTTAGCATTAATCAGCTGCAAGTCCCCCCCTACACACAGAGGCAACAAAAATTGCCAGTAACCAGCTCCTTTACTGACTTTTGAACTGTGGTGTTGGAGAAGACTCTTGAGAGTCCCTTGGACTGCAAGAAGATCCAACCAGTCCATCCTAAAGGAGATCAGTCCTGGGTGTTCATTAGAAGGACTGATGCTGAAGCTCAAACTCCAGTACTTTGGCCACCTCATGCAAAGAGTTGACTCATTGTAAAAGACCCTGATGCTGGGAGGGATTGGGGGCAGGAGGAGAAGGGGACGACAGAAGATGAGATGCCTGGATGGTATCACTGACTTGATGGACATGAGTTTGAATAAACTCCGGGAGCTAGCGATAGACAGGGAGGCCTGGCATGCTGTGATTCATGGGGTCACAAAGAGTCAGACACGGCTGAGTGACTGAACTGAACTTACTGACTTTGAACCTGTTGAATATTAGTTCCATAGTGCCATTTATGTACATTTTCTTAAGACCAGACTGTAGTCTCTGTCAGGAAGAAATAACTAGTTGCAGATTTGTGAATCAGATGCCTGTTTTGGATTTTACTGAGGGAAATTAGTCAAAAGATTAAGTCCCTTGCAATAAATTTAAATGTTACTTGGAAGTAAGGCTGTGTTCTTTCTATCAAATACAGACTTAAAAATTCAAACATTTTTGGAGAAATTCAAAGACACAGGTTAACTGCCAAATACCAGTAAAAGTAGGAAGATATTAAGTAAACCAGCATTTGACTAGATCAATTACAAATCAATAACATTCTTTTCCATTGTGGATATTAGCTATCAGTAGAATGTAGATATATATGCATGCACATATCTAAGTGTAATATATATTGATAAAATTAATATAAGTCCATTTGGGTCTAGGAACGTTCCTAAAGAAAATGAATCTTCATCTGAGAGTTGTGTGTAACTCTTCAGTATATGTGGGGAGAACTCATTCAGAAGTTTTATAATCAGAATGATTATGTATTGAGAAAAAGTTAATTATGAAAGTCAGTATATGTTGACTACCTACCACTGTTGAGGTCTGTATACAGTTGATTAGTTAGCTTCTGCCTTTTAGGAAACAAATTATCTGGGGAAGTGATGTGAACATAAATAAAAGAGGGGAAAGTGTGTTTTGAATGAAATAGTAAGTGCTATGGGAACTCAGGAGAGGTTACTTCTACTTGAAGAATCAGGGACCGCTTCATAGAAAAGGTGGTGTATTTATTTCCTAGGGCTGCCATAACAAACTACCACAAACTAGGTGACTTAAAACAACAAAAATTTATTCTCTCACAGTTCTTGAGGCTAGAACCTGAATGCAGGGTGTCGATGGGGCCATGCTCCCTTTGAGACTTTGAGTGGAGTTCTTTCCCTTGCCTCTTCCTGCTGCTGCCTCTTCCTAGCTTCCATCAATTCCTGACATTTCTTGCTTTGCAGCTACATCACTCCAGTTTCTGTCTCTGTTGTCACATAGCATTCTGCCTTTGTGCCTCTGTATCCAAATTTCTCTCTTATAAGGGCACTAGTCCTGTTGGATTGGGGGTCTACCTCATCTTAACTAATTGCATCTGTAGTGATTACAGATCAGGTTACATTCTGTGGTACTGAGGGTTAGGGTTTTAAATATATTTGGGGAGATAAGATTGAACTTAAAACAGGTGACATGATACAGAAGTATTAAATTAAAATTTACTAATTAAATGGAAGAGTAAAACTGGAATGAATTGAGTTAAGGAAAGAAGAACTAAGGGAATGATGGACATAGTAGATTGTAAGGAATATTTAGGAAATGAGGTAAAGAAGTCTGGTTTGCTGGTGTATTGAGGAGTTGTGAGAAGATGAAGGCAGAGTAAATACATTGAGGTCCTAGGTACCAGATCTCAGATATTTGAGTGCTGCTGAGTGGGTAGTGTGTGGGAGCAGAATAGCCTTGCAGAGTTTTGAAATGGTGGATAACTAATTCAGACTTTGGATAATTAATTCAAGCTTTAGGAAGATTCTGTGATCAGGTGAACTTGGATAGACAAATGGTTAGTGACTTAACACACCCAGCCTCCCTCATTTGCCTATGCCAGTAACTTTTCACCAGGACAGTCCAGAAATTCCCCATAGACAGAAAACACCACTACAACACACGAGGATTTTACTTGCCTCTTGGTCAGTCATCTGTGGGCATTGAGACACATCTGCTTTTTTAGGGTCTCTATTCTATTCAGAAGCCTCTCTTTGGATTTATAATCATGTTGTTCTTCATTTTTCCTTCAAACTTTTCTTCAAAATCACCGATTTTCCATCCTGTTTTTTACCTCTTGATTTTTCTCTGAACCATTTTCAGTTTCTTTCCATGTCTTTTAAAAACATCTGACTAACGGAAAGAATTGAGGAAGATTCTGTACTATCCAAGCCAGTGATATTCTTTTCTGTATCCTTTCAATGATAGTTTTGATGACTTTTGTCCACAATAGGACTTTATTTAAATTATGACTATTCATTCAAATTGTGGTCAACAGTTGTGCTCAAGTGCGTTTCCTTCTTTGTGCTCAGGCATTTCTTCCTGGTTCTGTATTTGCATCTCACATATTTTCTCTAAGAGCATGTGTCTTCATGACATTTTAAAAATTACGTTTGAATATTACAAACAAACATAACTTCCTAGTCATCATATCCATATGGTCTTTTCATATAGTTTTTTATAGTTTTCTTTCATTTGGCATTATATTGATACACTTTTCTACATGTCAACATAGTCATCATTTTTAATGAATCCACAATAAAGTTTAAATACTTTGTGTATTATTATATTTGGCATTTGGATGGTTTCCAGTTTGTTTTTATTTTTGATTTACAATTCTAAGTGATACTACTCTAACAGCTTTTTATCCCCCCGCCCCATTTTTTTCTTAGATTATATACCCTAAAATAATTCAGTTCCATCTAAGGATATCACTTTTTCACTATGTTGTTAGATTATTCATTAGAAAATGCCAGTTTGTACAGTTCTACTATAGTTAACAGTAGATTTTATAATTTTTTTCTTCTAGTGTAATAGTGATTGAGGCCTCCCTGATGACTCGGTGGGTAAAGAATCCACCTGCAATGCAGGAGACACAGATTCGGTCCCTGTGTGAGGAAGATCCTCTGGAGGAGGGCATGGCAACCCACTCCAGTATTCTTGCCTGGAGAATCCCATGGACTGAGGAGCTTGACAGGTTGGACAAGACTGAGCATCTAAGCAGGCTCACACACGTAATAGTGATATATCACAGTTTTGTGGCATTTTTGGTATTTTAAATGTTTTATTACGAAAAAAAAAATTCAAACTTTCCAAAAAGACCCTTCCAGAAATAGTTCAATGAACAATTCAGTATGTTGCCATACACTTACTAATATACTTCTTAGGTTACACCTTTTTAAAATAAATACATCATAATAGTATGCCTTTAAATACTTTAGCATGCATCTCTTACAAATAAGAACATTTTCCTACATTGTTGCAACACCATTATCACAGGGAACAAAATTACAATAATTCCTGAATGTTTCAGGCATTAGTTTGTGTTTGTTTCTCCAGTTGTTTCTATAATGACTTTTACAACTGACTTATTCGAAGTGGAATCAAATTAAGAACTATGCCTTGTGTTTGTATTTGTTATTTTTGTAGTCTTTTTTTTTTTTTAATCTGAAGAGATTCCCATTTCTTATCTGCTCCCTCACCTCCTCCCACCCCCTCAAGGCATTGATTTGTTGAGACCTGAGCATTTTTCTTGTTTGTCTCACATCCTGGATATGCCTGATTGTATTCTTTGTGGCATCTAACTTGTTCCTTGTATTTTCCTTAACTGGAAGGTTTAAGACTTGATTAGATTGTAGCCTAACATTTTGACAAAAATATTTAATACATTTTTTTTACATTGCATCATATCACGAGGTGCATAAATGTCTGGTTTTCCCCTGTTGATGTTAACTTTGATCATAGGGTTAAGATTGTGACTGCCACATCTCTCCTGTGAAGTTGCTTGTTTTTTTCTTTTGTGACTAGAAAATATGTTTTTTATTTTTATCATTGATGAGTATTTTTTAGTCGAGCTAGTTTTTCATTCATTTGACCGTTTGTAGACTTGATATTTTCCTTTTAAGCTTGTACTGTGCATTTAAAAACTTTATATAGTGTCATAAAGAATGATGCATTATAAAAGATAAATTTCAAATTTCAAGGTATAGCTTAAATCAAATATAATTTAACCAAGAAAAACCTTACAGATTGCAGATATACATAGAGTAGGGGGCATTTCTTTGACAGAATCCTGTGATGTTTGCTTTTTAAAAAAGCATTGTAAGCAGGCAAAACTAAGAGGCGTAAAGCTCTTGAATAAAACAGTTTCTTTTTCTTTTTGAAAGAGAGTTAAGTCCTGAATTCATAAGTTGTTTTACAAACCCAACCCCCAAACACTCAGAATTTATTTTTGCTTCTTGTCCTCTTCAGTATTTCATTTGGCTGTCTTTATCAACTTTGCCAGTTCTTTATCAACTTTAAATAGCTATTTTGTGTATTTGGGGTCTTAATCCCTTTTTTGACATGTGGTACAAATATATTATCCCAGTCTCTCAGTTGGCTTTTGACTTTGTGGTTTGCTTGACATATAGACTACTTTAATTATCTAATCATGCCTGTCAGTCTTTTTCTTTATAATTTCTAGGTTCATGTCTTGGTCACCACCATTCCACCAAAGTTAATAAGTCTAATTTTTTTTCTATATTTTTGTCTTGTTAAGTTTAAATTTTGTTTTTCTCATTTTTGCAACTTGGGCAGAAATTTCTTTGTTGTTTAATATAAATGAGCCTGTTTATTATGCTGTTGAATTTCTTCTCTTGATCAAAAACTTCTTTCTTCACTGTTTAGGGATATAATTATTTTAAACAACCTCTCTTGATTTTGAAGAAATGCTTTTCTGGTTTTTCCAGGTCAATTTGGACGCTCTACCTGTGTTTGAAAATAATCGTGTATTCATCTAATAACAGTTCTGTCTGCAGGTTTGCCAGGTATATTCTGGGTCATCAGTTATGATGAAATGGTAGCTTCAGAACTCGAAAGCTGATCTAAGGACTTAAGTGTTTGATTTTTAAAAGAAAGTGACAATTATAAGAGTATAAAGCAAAAAAAAAAAAAAAAAAGGCCTGACAAAACTGTCTTTGAATACATTTGACTCTCCTTTCCGTGGGTTCCTCATCTGCAGATTCAACCAGCCTGAGATTGAAAGCATTCTCCCCCCAAATTCCAGAAAGTTCTAAAAAGCAAGACTTGAATTTCTCAAGACTGGAAACTATTTACCTTGTATTTACAACTGTTTTGACAACTGTTCACATATCAGTTACATTGTATTAGGTATTATAGTTAATCTAAAGATGATTCCTAGTGTATGGATCGGATGTGCTGTTGTATTCAAATACTACATCATTTTATATGAGGGACTTGAGCATCTGCAGATGTTGCTTTTGAGGGGACAGTCCTGGAGTCAGTCCCTCTTGGATACTGAAGATGACTCTATGCTAAGACAGTGGAGAAAAAGAAACACTGGCAGACTCTTAGAATGATGGTCTAAGGACTTTTTGTAATTCAGAGCCCAGATTTCATGATTTAACAGTTTCTTGTTAGAAACTTAATAGAGAAAGGAAGCCATTGTTCTCTAAAGTTGTTTTCCAACACTTTCTTAAGGCAGGGAAACATTCATTATCATTATATAACATACTTTGCTGCTGCTTTTAAAATGAAGTATTTCTTTTGAAAGAAGTGTCATACATGAAATGAAAGACTTCCCTCTTACTGAGAAGCTTTGGACAAATTATTTACTTGGGCCTTAATTTTTTTGTCTGTTCAATGAGGGTATTGGACCTGGGGCCCTCTGATATTGCTCAGAATCTCAAGTTATGTTTAGGGATTTTTAAAAAAAAATTATTAGTTCCTACATTGTAAGATTTGGTCAACATTTCAATGTCATTTGTATATTACAGCACGGATTAAAAGACTAGAATTTTTTTTTTTTTTTTTTGGCCTTGCAGCAGGCAGGATCTTAGTTTCCCAACCAGGGATCAGATTCATGTCCCCTGCTTTGAGAATGTGGAACCTTAACCACTGGACTACCAGGGAAATCCTCTTGCACTGTTTTTTGACTGAAGCTTTATTCTGAATGAAAGAACGTGGTGGTTTACAATTAGAACATGATGTGTAGTATAGTTTTTTTCTAAACTTTACTTTATCCTCTTACCGTGGTATCTAACAAGATGGGAAAACTCTCGTTGAGCCTCTGACTTACTCTGCTGATTATGCTCAATTAAAATTATAACTACAGTTGACCTTTGAACAACATGGTCTGACTGTGCCAATCCACTTATATGCAGATTTTTTTCAGTTAATACATACTGCAGTACGACACATCCATAGTTGGTAGAATCCATGAATGTAAAACCACAAGAATGGAGGGCTGACTGTAAACTTATACTCAGATTTTTGAATGCTCCTGGGATCAGACCACCTAACCCCTGAGCTGTTCAAGGGTCAACTATATGTATCTGTGTTAGTTTAGGGATTTCAAATTTTGTATTTCACACATTTTTCCCGCAAATATTTATTTTATTATGAGGCTTCATAAATTACACATGTTACATCTGTTCTTTTATGAATATGAAATATAAGAAAAATGAAAAGAGAGACTTGGAGGTAAAGATTATATTTCACAAATTTATCTTTTGTTTCTTATACTATTAATAAAATGTCAGGATTGAAATTTATATTTAATGTTAATATTCCCTAATCTCTTAAATTATCTATTATGCCTACAAAGAGCAAACCAGGATTTTTACAGTAGTGAAATGCCAGTCTCCTCAACAGGCATTTTGTTAATCTTTTCAGGGCACTAAGTTTCTGTGATTTGACTGGAGGTTTACATAAATTTTCCCTTGGGATCCCTGGACTTAGGAAACATGTAAGAGTTTTCTAAGAATCTTATGAAATGATGTAGGGAGTATAGAATTGGATCTTACACTAGTGTGCCATGGCAGATTGTCTTTGACAGTTTATATTTAACTGGGTATTAATACAATTTTAAAAATGCCTTATCTTGAAACATTGAAAGCTATGTAGTTTAAAGGCCAACTTAACTTTTAAAGCAGTATAAGTGTAATATCCAGACCTAGGCCTTCATGAAAATCTTATTTAAATTATCCATTCCATATTTTTTTTTGTTTCTTATATAGTAACTTCAGGAGCAGGAATCTATTTAGTAGAGAACCTGATGCATAGTAGGTGATTGGTAAAGGGAGGTTGAACAAATGCATCCGTTGAAAGTATTCAAATTATAATAGATTAGAAATTATGAAAAAAAATTATGAGGGACTTCTTTACGCATATATTTTCCATTTAAAAAACTATCTTGTGTTCTTTAAGTCTGAAATGATTTCAAAATGTAAAGTTTAACTCATGCAAAAAAAGTCTTGTGATGTTGGTGGTAGTGAGGATATTGTTTATATTATTTGCATCTAGACCACAAACCTAGGAGATTTGTATTTTATACAAGCTGAAGAATATACTTGTGTTTGGAGAAGAAAATGGCAACCCACTCCAGTACTCTTGCCTAGAAAATCCCACCGATAGAGGAGCCTGGTAGTCTCCATTCCATGGGGTTACAAAGAGTTTGACATGACTGAGCAACTTCACTTTCACTTTCATCAGGCAGATGACCGAGGAATTCTAGGATTCTTACTTTACAAAGCTACTTAAAACATATGAGTAGCGAGATTATTTGTTAAAGTGAAACCATGTGTTTGTTGTTGTGTGTGCATGTTTAGTCATGTCTGACTCTGTGATCCCATGGACTATAACCTGCTAGATTTCTCTGTCCATAGAATTTTCCATGTTAGAATACTGGAGTGGGTTGCCGTTTCCTACTGCAGGGGGATAAATAGTCCTTGAGTTTTCTTAAACCCTAGAAGGAACCTGTAATCCTCTTTAGTTCTACCTTAGTGATCCATCCTCTCATTTTATAATTTAGGAATCGTAGGGCTTCCCAGGTGGCACAGTGGTAAAGAATCCACTTGCCAATGCAGGAGGTGCAGGAGACACAGGTTCTATCCCTGGGTCAGGAAGATTCCCTGGAAAAGGACATGGCAACCCACTCCAGTATTCTTGCCTGGGAGTTTCCATGGACAGAGGAGCCTGGCCATGGGGTCACAAGGATTCAGATGTGATTGAGCACACACAGGCACAGAGAGATTGCACCCTGCCCCAATTCATAGAACTTTATGGGAAGGTCACAACTAGAACTTGGAGCACACTCATCCTGCCATGCTCAACCTAGCTCTTTTTTCATTCTGTCACCCTGTGTTTCACAGTTGTGAACCCAGGACATCTGTGTTTTCCATTTGTTTACTTGTTTGTTTTTTGCAGTTGTCATTTGTAATAATTTTTTTCAGAGAATAAGTAGGAGAGTAAATGTTAAATTTAAAAGTTTAATATTATTACTTTATTTACAGTTTTATAACAGAACGAGTAGGAAAATAACTTGAAGGACTAAGTCAGTAACTAACTACCTAGGGCAAATCTTGTAGCCTCTGTGAGACTGTATCTGCTACTTTCTTAGAATCCTTCCAGGCTTCTGCCCAGAACAAATATTTCTGTTTTTTGTTTTTTTTTTTTTTTTAATATTTGTCACTGAAAGTATAACACAATGCAAAGTGTACAAGTCGTAACGATAGTGAATTATAAAATGAACATACTTGTATAACCATTGCTGTTGTATTTTGAAAAAGCTTCCTTGGTGATTATGATAGGCTTTCCTTTAAAAGAAATCACTGGACTTGTGGCTGTAGGTAATCTCATGTTTTTTACAACTCTTTCTAGAGTGAAATTAGTAGAAACGGGGTAGAGAGAAGGAATTTGTCCAGTCACAAAAATGTGCTTTGAATAGGTTTATTTTGATTATATTAAGTCTTGTCTTTCTGATGTTTCTCTTCTTCCTCTTTGCCCTTTTTCCTTTCTGTCTAGGTCCTGGATGGAATGGAGAGGGCTCCTACTCAACCTCTAACTATCTTTTCTGAGAGTGGTCAGAGAGTTCTTAAACAGGTCTGTTGATTCTGTAGTATACAAATGCAAGTTTGAGTTATAAAATATTTGGTTTCAACCTAAACAAAGGATTGAATTAAGAAGTAGCCTTTTTAAAAAAAGAAGCCATTTTGATCTCAGTGTCTACAGGGTATTTACTTTAGCAAGCTGCATTTGGCATGTGAATTGGACCCAGAGTGACTCAGTTAAAAAGATCTGCTTAATAGAAAAGCAGTTGTCATGTCTTTATCAGATATGTTGATTATATGTAATATGGCAGAATTCTTTGTTGGTTTCTGGAAAATAACAGGAAAAGATGAAAAAGTGAGTATCTCAGTTGTCTGTGATTCTGGTGGAGAATGGAGGCATGGAAAAATCCAAGAAGGAAAATAATTATTTGACCCTCTTTGTGATATTCTCAGAATTCATAACACTGGGGAAAACAATCACAGTTACCTTTACCTTACAAATCTCTCATTCAGGGAAGGGCAAGTATATACAGGCTTTGGGTTTTTTTTTTTTTTCTGTTTTTCTTTCTTTTACCTCACTCTGTGTCACCATGAATGAACTTTATCATTATTCAGACAGATAAAAACTCAAGCTTAGTGATTTTCCAAACTTGTCTTTACACTGGAATCTCCAGTAGAACTTTGCAAAGTACTGATGTCTTTGTTCTACCTCCCAGCCACCACCGCATCCCAGGTTGTGATTTAATTGGCCTGGGGGTATGGCCTAGGAATTTTTAAAAGATCCCAACAGGATTCTGAAGTGCCGACAAGTTTAGGAACCACTGTTCTAGCTAGTTAAAGCAGATCTGGCAACTATGCAACTTGTGACGTTTTTGTGTAAATATTTGGATAAATATATGCATAAAGGACAAATATTTTTATTTTAAAATCCTGTTCTTTAAACCTAAATTCTTACCAGAATGTAAGCTTCATTAAAGCAGATACCATGTATATATTTTCTTCCCCATTATATCGTTAACATTTAAAGCAATAACTGGCATGTATGCTTAAGTGTTTGTTAAGTGGGTGGATGAACCTATCATTCTTTAGTGAACCGAGTATGCTTTTACCTCGTACACAAGTGGTCTGAGATATAGGGTGGTGGTGGTGGTAGTGAAGAGTACAGCCTCTGTGACTGACTGACAGGGCTCTAGTCACAGCGCTGTCACTTACAAGCTGTCAGACGTTAAGCAAGTTGTATGGTATATCTTGGGCTTCTCTGGTGGCTCAGTGGTAAAGAATCTGCCTGTTAATGTAGGAGATGCCGTTTTGATCCCTGGGTTGGGAAGATCCCCCGAAGAAGGAAGTGGTAACCCACTTCAGTATTCTTGCCTGGGAAATTCCACGGACAGAGGAGCCTGGTGGGCTGCAGTCCATGGGGATGCAAGAGAGTCGGATACAACTGAGCAACTAAACAACAAAACTGGTATATCTCACTTGTTAAGAAACTGCCAGTTTATTTATTTATTTTAAAATATTTCTTTATTTCTTTTGCTATGCTGGGTCTTAGTTGTAGCACATGGGATCTTTAGTTGCAGCTTGTGAACTCTTAGCTTTGGCATGTGGGATCTAGTTCTCTGACCAGGGATCAAGAATTCCCAGCAGGGATCTGCATTGGGAGCACAGAGTCTTAGCCACTGGACTACCAGGGAAGTCCCAGCCAAACAGTTTAAAAAGATGTGAATGTTCAGCAGAATTTCCAAGGAGGGTGCATTAGTTATCTGTTGTTGCATAACAAATTACCACAAATTTAGCCACTTGAAACATGTATTTATTAGGGCACAGTTTCCAAAAGTCAGGAGTTTGGACACAGTTTAGGCGGGCCCTCTGTATCAGGGTCTCGCAGGCAGCAGTCAGGGTGTCAGCCAGGAATGGAGTCATCTCAGTGATTGACTGAAGAAGGATTTCCTTGAAGCTTACTTGGTCGTTGGCAGAATTTACTTCGTCAAGGGGTGTTGGATTTTTAAGGCCTTGGTTTCTCACTGGCTATTGGTGGAGACAGTTGTCAGTTCCTTACCTTGTAGCTCCCTCCAGCGTGGCAAGCTGAGAAGGCGGTAGAGTCTCCTAGGGAGATGGAAGTCTCATTCTTTTGTAACCTAATCATGGAAATGGCACTGTATATATTTGGCTATAAGTAAGTCACTAGACTAGCCCACATTCAGGGGGAGGAAGAGGGGCAGGGGTGATTATACCAGGGCATGAATACCAGGAGGCTGGGATAATTGGTGGCCATCTTAAAAGTTTGTCTACCACAGGAGACATGGGCTTAGTGCCAGGCTGGGACTCAGTGGGGTATTAAAGGGAGTAGGGGTAGTGAGGAATAGTTTGTGAAATTTCCTTTACCTTCCCCGTATCAGACTATATCTTTCTTCCTTCTGTCTTTAACATTAGCTTCTCTCCCCTTCAAGAACAGAGACATAATACAAAGATCATTCTCACAGTGAGATTTTAATCTTGAGTGGGTGGTGTGTGTGTATGTTTTATGATTCAACTAAGGCGTCTCCCTGTATCATGTAGTGTTTATATACGTATGTATTTTTTAAAAAACATTTTGTCATGGAACTTGAGACAGATACAAAAGTAGAATGCTATCCTGAACCCCCATGTACCTTTCATCCACCTTCAACAATTTATTTTTTTACTAATCTTGCATGTATTATTTATATATAGCAAGATGTACAGTTTGAGTTTTGATAGATGTATATATCCCCACAATAAAGATATAGGACATTTTCACTCCAAAGGTGCCTCATCCTTGTGTAATCAGTCCCCACCCCAATCCGAGACAAGTACCCATCTGATGCCTATTGCTGTAGGTTGGTTTTGCCTACTAGAACGCCATAGGAATATTCTTTTGATCACCATGAAGTTTTTGATATTCATTCATGTTGTTGCATGTATCAGCGGTTCAGAATTCTTCAGCCTTGGCACTGTGGACATTTTGAACAGGATAATTCTTTGTCTTGGAGATTGTCCCGTGCATGTGGGGTTATTCAGTAGCATCCCTGATTGCTATCCACTAGAAGCCATTAGCACTTCCCTCTCCAGTGGTAACAGTCAGAAATGTGTCCAGACTGCCAGATGTCCAATGGAGAACAAAATCCCCTCCCTACTCTACTTGAAGATCATTTCAGTATTATTATTTGTCAGTATTCTACTATAGGAATATACTTCAGTTTATCCACTTACTAACTAATAGACCTTTGATTTGTTTCTAGTTTACTTTCACTTGAGGCCATTATAAATAAAGTTCTATTCATTTTTATAGGCATGTCTTTGGGTAGACATGTTTTCATTTATTTTGGGTAAATACCTAGGAGAGAGATTGCTGGTTCTTATGGTAAGAAACTTTATATAACTTTAAACTGCCAAATCATTTATTTCTTTTTTACATTCCCACTGACATGAGAGTTCCAGTTGCTCTACGTCTTTGTCAACATTTGATAGTATTATTCTTTTTATTTTTAACCATTATAGTAGGTGTAGCTATAATTTGCATTCTCCTGATGACCAATGATGTTGAACATGTTTTCTTCTTTTTTTTTTTTTTCATTTATTTTTATTAGTTGGAGGCTAATTACTTCACAGCATTTCAGTGGGTTTTGTCATACATTGACATGAATCAGCCATGGAGTTGCATGTATTCCCCATCCTGATCCCCACTCCCACCTCCCTCTCCACCCGATTCCTCTGGGTCTTCCCGCACCAGGCCTGAGCACTTGTCTCATGCATCCAACCTGGGCTGGTGATCTGTTTCACTATAGATAATATACATGCTCTTCTTTCGAAACATCCCACCCTCGCTTCCTCCCACAGAGTCCAAAAGTCTGTTGAACATGTTTTCATGTTCTTATTGTAATGTATCTGTTCAAATCTTTTGCTGATTTTTTAATTGGGTTGTTTGTCTTATTATTGAGTTTCCTTTGTCTTTTTTCCAACATGTGTACAAACATTAAGAAAATAAAAATAATGAATCAGTTTTATAGACTTATTATATTTAAAATGTGAGCATTTCCCATGATGTTAAGTATTCTTGGAAACATGACTTTTAATGGAGAAGCAATATTTGAGTACATTTAAATTGATTCACCACTTTTATTGTTGAGCCTTGAGCTAGGTTCCAGTTTTTCACTATCAGTATTTTGATAAACATCTTTGAATATGAATCTTTAACCACATCTTTAATTATTTACTAGATTATTTACTAGATTCCTAGATATGAGGATTATAATTATGATGTTAAGGAAAATGAATATTTATGAGCAAAATATGAATGCTAATCTGTTGTATATTAACCTTTGCTGCAGTTGAGTATTCCATTAAAAATGTTTATGTTGGAAGAAGGGCATATTTCATTTTGGTTTTTTTGGATTACTTATGAAATGAACAAAGTTTTCATATATTTATTGATGATTTTTATTTCTAATTTTATAAGTTTTCTATTTGGAGGGCCAATTTTGGAGGGGGATGTTAATATTTCCTTAATTTTTAATGTTAAGTTTATTAACCTTTTGTCATTTACAAATATAATTCCCAGTTTATATTTTGCCATTTTACTCTTGTGTACTTTGTCCTACAAAAAAATTTTTTTTTTTTAGTTCTACCACTTTATTGCTACCAACCCATCTCCCTCCACCCTCGTGCACACATGCTCAAGTCATGTAACCCCATGGACTTCAGCCCGCCAGACTCCTCTGTCCATGGACTTTTCCAGGCAAGAATTGTCCTGCAAAATTTTAAAAATAATAATGAAATTATATAATGACTTGTATAATACAAAATATTATGTATTATATAATATATATTTTGCTTTAGCTCTTCAGTCCATGACCTGATAAATATACTGTATATGAATGTATAACCAATATGTGATGGTAGTTTTATTTTTTATATTTAGTTTTTGCTTTTTTTTTTGGCTCTGTTGTGAGGCATGCAGGATCTTAGTTCTCCAACCAGGGATTGAACCCATGCCTCCTGCAGTGGAAGCTCAGAGTCTTAACCTCTGGACCACCA